ATACTCAAGAGAGATTTGTGGGAATGAGAGCAAATGCACAGAGCATGCCATGTGTCTGGAGGCTCCAAGAGCCTGGATTATTTAGTTTAGTACAATGAAGGTGTAAAAGGGTATTCTTCTGTGTAAACAATCACAGAAAAATGGCAAGCATTGTTGTTCTTCCAGCTAAAAGTACATGTAAGACCAGACATGAACAAATAAAGAGAAAATAGCAGTATGTTCTTAATCATTAAGCCAGGTGTTTCTTCAGCTGTAGTGAACAGCTCCCAAGAGGGCCAGCAAAGAGCTTAATGGGGATTGTGAAAAAACAGATTTTTAAAAATATAGTTTACTGCTAATTCTATATTTGTATTCAATACGTTATCAGAAGAAAAGCCCCACAAAAATCCCCATCTTATGCAGCTTCTCGCAGCAGCTCAGTTCTGCCATGAAAAAGGAGCGAAAGGTATCTGTAATTGTCAGCTATGTCAGCCAACGTGGCTAATCGCATGCAGTGAAAACAGCTAAATAAACAGCAAGCTGATGGTGACAATTTGAGGAGTTGCTTGTACCTAGCTTGATGGGTTGGACTTGGGGGAGGTTACACAGGGACAGGTGACCTCAAAACAGTGGTACCACGAGGAATCTGAGAAAATGATGCATTGAGGAAACCAGCTTCCTGAGAAGCCACTCCATTAGTAAGGTAGGAAAGGGATGTTAACTGCTTTTAAAATGAAGTTTGATAAATTGATCGTATTATTTGGTACCCATGAGAAGCTGGTCAGTTACACAACAGAGTACTTGGAAGATCCTGATGACTTCTGCATGGTCAGTAATGCTGTATTCACTGATGTACATACACAAGTAGAATGCCATGTTACTCAAATAAGCAGCTGAATGACAGAACTTGTTCATATATCAGATTTTCTGTGGCAGTCAAGATAATGATGTAAAAAAAAGGCCATTTGTTTGGCTTTGGTATCAATCTACCTGCATCTAGTAACATTTTGAATTAATATATATGTAACCTCGGTGTAACAAAAACTTTCCCCCATGTGTGACATGGTGGGCCCCATCACAATTCTTGGTCTATGCAGTTTTTGCCTTTGTATTTCTCTCAAAGACGTGTTGTGTCTTTGAGAAAGGAATTTCCCATTCCTCTCTCCATGGAATGCCTCACTGGCAATACAGCTCAGTACAGCCACTTGTAGAGGCACCTCTGCAATTCCACAGCAGACACATTGAAGGAGTCTGTCTGTACAGCCAGTTTTGGAAGGTGAATTGCTGCTTAGACTCAACTTTTATTGATTTTAATTCCCATGAAACTAGGCTCAGGCTTATATTTACAGAGTGGGTTTTGTGGATGAGGAGCTGGGCAACCAGAAATAAAATGTTGTTAGAGACAGAATCATCAGGGAGCTAAAGAGTTCATGAAAGGGAGCAGAAGCATGACTTTGAGATGCCACATAACTCAATTCCTTTGGAAACAGGAAAGAGCAGAACAAAAGGGTCAACTCAAGAGGTGACACAGATGACTTTGGTCAGTAACTTTCTGATCAAAAGTGCGACGGGGCAGCCAATTAACTTCACAATCTTGATTTTCAATTTAGACTCCTTGTTTTGCAGTGTTATCACAAGAGGAACTGCAGATTTCAATTCTCTTTATTTAACACCTATTCTCAGTTATTTCTGTTAAAATTTTGCTCCAGTCCTAATTAGCTATATTTTATTGTGCAATGAATGCATCATGTGAGACACAGGAGATCTACACCCTACTGAAGGGGAATATTTTTAATTTTTCACCTCAGGACCCTTTACAAACTCTCATTAATTTAAATTCCTTCCACACCACTGCTGAATAACCTAACACAAATGGAATGTCACACTCCAGATCTCTCTGTGTATCACTTGGTCCTCTGAGTGTAGGAGCGAGCCAGATCCCACTGTGCATTAAAATTTCAGTGAAGGATTCCTGACAACCCCATGTGCAGAATCATCATAGCACGTTTATTCTTTGGAGAGAGCTGTTGGCCAGATGCTGCAGAGAAGTGTCAGAAAAAAAATGGGGCTCTCCCAGAGAAGATACCAGAATCCTGACTGTGGGAGCCTGGGGACAGGAAATGTTTGGGGTTTATTTATTTTTTTGGCATGGTACTTTCCACTCTGAAAAACAAAGTGATGTTTATCTAGTCCCCACTCCTCTGACTTCTAATTAGCCCTCCCTTTCAAACTCCTTTCCCCAGCAACTTTGAATTGGCTCGCACTGAAGCTGCTTTCCCTGTCTTGCTCTACCTCCAAGCCAGAGAGAGTGGGAGGAAAACACAGTCTACCATGGTGTAGTAGATTTACAGAGCACATTAATGGGTGGAGCACCTACCTGGGACCTTCATGGGGTTTTAGATCTTCATGTTAAGATGGGCGTTGCCACTCACATTCACCCCAGTCTTGAGGATGTGTTTCTGAAACAGAACCAGATACGGTATTTTCTCTACAGCCTAAGAGAAACTGGAATCTGGATCTTACAACTGCAGTTTGATGAACAAAGGAAGAGCAGTTTAGCCAGGGTTTCTGAGGGGATGAGGCCGGGCAGTAAGGAGAGCACCTTAAGTCTGGAATGTAGAGCTGCAGGTCTCCCCCATGTCTGCTTGGCTGCTAGCTCCAGTTTCCAGGCAAGAACTCACCCCACAGCTCGTGCAGCTTTATCTGTTGGAGACAGCCATTATTAAGAAATCCTTTTGTGAGCAACATACAAAGGCTCTGCAGCCTTTAAGTGCTCAGGAGGCCACGGTTTGGGGAAAGTGTGTATGAAATGTTGGTAGATAGGACAAACAGGTGGACTTCTGGCTCAGACCCAGACAGCATGCCCAGTGCCAACAAACGTTGAAACATGATTGTTTCTTCGAAATATGGAGCTGAACAAGGATCCCAGAAAATGCTAATCAAGGTCAATTTTATGAATAAAAACATTACTGAAATTTTGAATATGCCCATCATGCAATTATTCAGGAAAAAAAATGTAGCAAATCCTGAATGTCTTCTTTGGCCCCAAGTAAAGGAGAGTTAAGTTCACAGTTACTGCTCCCTCACAAATTGCACCTATATGCTCTATATATGGACAGGAGTTTTAACGTGGAGTTTCTTGCCCTCTCCTTCCTGCTCCATGTGGAGATATGCCCTCTATGTCAGCCCTTGGCAAGAGTAAGGTGTTCAGCTCACTGAAAATGCCTATCTCCCTTTATTCAATAATGCCTTTTAGTATTTGGCTTCCTGTCTTTACTTTGCTTGATATCCTCCCTGACATCTCTCTGTCTGTTGCCAGTGTTCTGTTCCCTGCTTAAGAGCAGCTCACGATCATAACTATCTTCATGCTTGGAGATGTTTCATGGTTCCTAGGCTGAATGCGTATTAAATGATACAGATTTTCAATGTGTAGATATCAGGTGCTGCAAATTTAGAATTTTCATGGAAAATACATGCTGGAATACATACATGTTTTTTCTAAATTTAACACTACTCCAAGAGGTCTCATGTGGAGACAGGGCCTCTGTCTGTCATAACATGCCCTGCCAGCTAGCTTTGCAGCCAGAACCTGATAGTGTATTTAGTCCTCCATATCCATTCTTCCAATACATAAATATTAAACTAGCTTTAAAATGATAGAAAGGGCTTAAGTTTTGCAAGACAACATTAGAATAACTGTGAAGTTAGTCAGAAGATCAAATATGTTTTTATATGCAGCTTTAAGTAATCATCCCTCCCCTAAATTAAATAACTGCTGCTTTCACTCAAAACAGAAATTCCTGTAGCAGGGTAATTTCTTGCCGAGACAAGTTTTGAACTGTCCTTGCGTGTTTAGCTCAGGGGAAGGAGGTCCTCTTTTGACTCATTCCCTGCAATCAGCTTCCCATGATGATCCTGTCTGCTCGAATATTGACAATGCACAAACACAGTGAGTCACGCCAGCAGCTCTGGAAGCTGCTCACCAGCCTGCTCCATCTTCAGGCACCACACAGCTGATGCAACCTGTGGCTGTACAAAGGCTCTTTGTTGAGAATCCATGCCTAATTTATCTTTGTGGAACATCTGCCACACCAATTGGAGATTATGGCATTATAATAAGAAGAAACCCCATAATAATAAACCCTAAACCTGAGCAGCCTTTTGGCTTCTGCTGTTGGCTTGCTTCTACCATGCTTTCCTGTCCAGGACTACGTGGTCTCCAGTCAGGCAGCTGTAACAGACACACAGCAGCAAAAGGCTCTCACAGACCTACAGACAGCTTTGGGTTGAACACTGCCAGGGATGAGGCATCCACAACTCTGGACAGCCTGTGCCAGTGTCTCATCACCCTCAAAGCAGAGAACTTTTTCCTTACACCTAATCTAAGTCTACATTATTTCAGTTTGAAGCTATTCCTCCTTGTCCTATCACTACCTGCCCTTGTAAAAAGTCCCTCTCCAGCTTTCTTTCAGCCCCATTAGGCGCTGGAAGCTGTTCTAAGGTCTCCCCAGAGCCTTCTTTTCTCCAGGCTGAACAAGCCAAAATCTCTCAGCCGGTCAGCATAAGAGAGGTGCTCCAGCCCTCTGATCGTTTTCATGGCCTCCTCTGGACTCTTTAATGTGGGCTTCTTTAATGTTGTGGGCTCAGTATAGTTAAAATGACCAAACGTAATTCCTTATGGACAGCAGGCCAGCCACCCCAACACAGCACTCGCTCCTTGGGATCCCTGACAGTCAACGCTTCCCTGCCACCCCGCTGCCGGCCTCCCTTAGCCCCGTCTCACGGCCATGACAAAACCGGTATCTGTCCCTGCTCCAGCGAACGGGTCAAAGCTCAGCCTGACAGACCCGTCTTTATCCAGCAGCATCTGCGCCCCACAGCTGCCTGCAGCGGGCGCACCGCAGGCAGGCGGGCAGGCAGGCAAGCGGGCAGGCGGGCGGGCGCCTCCCGGAGTTTCTCTCAGGCGCGGCTCGGGCAGCCCCGCCAAGGCCCCGCTGTTAAGTGCGGCCGCGGCGCCGCCTCTTTCTTTCCGTCCCGGGACGCCATTTTGCAGGACGCGAGGTGAGGTTCGCTGAGCACCGGTTGTGGGCCGCAGGTGCTTCTGCCGGCTCCGGGAGGGCGGCCGGACTCTGTCACTCTGCGCTGGTGGCGGGGCCGAGTGGCCGCTGGCTCTGGCTGGGGCGGCGAGCCCTTGCTGTGGTAGGAGCCTGAGGGAGGGAGGGCGCCGCGGCCTGTAGGACGCGGGTAGGGGTGTCGGGCCGGGAGACTGTTGAGGGATGGAGGAGCCGCTGGGGCCAGCGGCGGGGCGGTTTGTGGCTCCGCCGGGCCGGTGGCACACATGGCGGCGGGCCCGATCAGCCCGGCCTTGCATATCCTGGGCGGCTGTGGCAGCCTCCCGAGGTAGGCCCCGAAATGGGGAGCAGCGGGGCTTGGCTTTCGCTGACGGGCCTGGTGGTTGGCGTCTGGCCTGCTTACGCATGTGCGCGTCTCGTAAATCACAGAATCTTAGACTGGTTTGGGTTGAAGAAGACTTTAAAATCAGCTAGTTCCAACCCCCTTGCCACGGGCAGGAGTCATGTCTTGTGGATGCTATGTGAGGAGAGGCTGAGGCAACTAGATTTAGTCCACCAGGAACAGAGGTGCTTTTGGAGGCGCAGTAGGGACGTGTGGCAGGAGCCACATGTGTCACAGGCATGGTGGTTGACAGGGGCGTGAGGCAGAAGCATGAGACAAATGGCTTGAGGTAAAATGAGAAGCTCACACTGGGTATAAGGGGAAAGTTTTAAATTATGAGAAAGGCCTCCAAACAGGCTGCCCGGAGGGGAAGCTGTGCAGTAGTTTTTCCATCCTTGAATTGTTCCAAGACCTGACTGGACAAAGCCCTGCACAGCTTGCCCTGGTCATAGTAGACCTTGTTTTAAGTAGAAGGTTGAGCTAGGTAGCTTGCTAACATCCATTCTAACCTGAGTTACCCTGTGGTCCTTTTTTAAAAATACTGCTTTCTGTAGATTTCTAAGCTAATGGCACTGCTTGAATAGACCTAGCAATTTGGAAGTGGTGATTATGAATAAGCTTGAAGTCTTGATTTTTCTGAAGTGTCTGAAAATGCTGTCAGTCGGATTTTTAGTCAACTCCTGGTTTTAAATAATTTGCATTCATTTTTTACAGTAATAAGCCAAAATGACGAACACAAAGGGAAAGAGGAGGGGGACACGTTACATGTTCTCAAGGCCATTTCGCAAACATGGTGAGTATATCTTACAGTAAGAACACTGCCTGTTGGATGTTAACAGTCCCTAGGTAGCATTTGTAAAACAGTGGCTTGTGGCAAAGGATTTCTGACAATTTGGGCTAAAAACAGCTGCATGATACACAAATAAACTGTCAGCTTTTGCAGCTTATGCATTGGATTCTGATTGCTTGACAGTAACAACACTGATTCTGTCAGTGCTTGAGAATTAATTTGAAGGTGAAGAAAATACTTCAAGAGTTACAAAATGTACAGTTTTTGCTTCTTAGCAATGTGCAGTGAGAACAGCTGCGTTCACAGCAAAGTGGTAAATAGTTTAATGCCTTTCCAGCTTCTGCATTGGGGGTGAGAGTAAAGCTGTACTTTTTTCCTGAGTTAGTTGGTGGTTTTTTTTTAATTAAAAGTATGTGAAGAAGTAATTACTATTTTAAAAAATGGTTTTATTTCTCAGTGTTAGGTTTTTGAAATTGAATTTATATCTGAAATATTGTCTCCCACCCATTTTTGTGTGTGTGTGAAACTGGGGGCTTCATAAGTATCCAAATCTCTGTCTTTTAACAGGAGTTGTCCCTCTGGCTACCTATATGCGCATCTACAAGAAGGGTGATATAGTTGATATCAAGGTACTTTCTATAATTATAGGTAGTTAAAAGCTAAAGTAGTGTAATTCTTTTCAGTCACCAGTTTCTTGAGGTGGTCTTTTCTGTTGTTGTTACTTGGGTCATATACAAGTACTTGCTACTCACTTTTGAAGCAGTACTGGGATATCAGTGCTACTGAGCCAGAAGTCAGTGTCACGCTGGTTTATGTAGGGTTTTATTTTTATATATATATATGTGTGTATATATATATATATATATATATATATATATATATATAAACATTTGGCTGTGCTTTGTTACTCCCATGTGCAGCTGAAAACCATGAGTGAAAGGTACCATGTCTAATACTGGGATTGCTGTAGGGTGCCTACTACTGCTACTTTGAAAGGAACCCCTCCATCGTTTTAGTAGATTTTCTGTTTTGCCTGACTTGTAGCTGCTACTCAGAAGAGTCGTTATGGTGGTGTAGGTGATAATTACATCTTGTGACCCTGTGTCACTGTAGGACTATACTTAAAATAAAAATGTACAGGGATTGTCATTGCAAAGCTGTATTAAAACTAGAAACTAAGAAATAAATGTAAGGATACATCATATATATTGATACAGGAGAAGAATTAAGGAGCATTTTCCATCACTTGATATTTTCTATAACTTGTCCTTTAAAATCCACTGTACTTTCAAAATTAAGCTGTAGTGAATCTGAAAGTCTTTCACCAGAGATTCCTACTTCGTTGAATCCTTTTGTTTCATTTGAAATGCAGAGTTTTAACCATCACACAGGAGATGGTGTGTAATTTGCTTGCTTTTTGTTTGGGAACTGCACTGTTCAAAATTAATACTTCTCGATACACTGGAGCTTGATGATGATTGTCTCATGTGATTGCTTGCTGAAAGCAAAGTGATCAGTCATTTCACCGACACTGAAAGCAACCAGAATTTTCACAGCGGAGTTTGGTAGTCTTCAGATACAAATGCATGGCTATAAATTCTAATGTACAGATAAAATGTGAGTATTTTAAATGAATTTCAAGTAATTTGAAATCTGTACTTTAGATAACTTATGAAAGAAAAGTCACTGATGGTGCTTTTTGTTTTTTTTCCCCTTCCCCAAGTTAAAGTTTACACTTTATTCTTGTTTTACCTCTTAACAGGGTATGGGTACTGTTCAAAAAGGTATGCCCCACAAGTGTTACCACGGCAAGACTGGAAGGGTATATAATGTTACTCAGCACGCTGTGGGCATTATTGTTAACAAGCAGGTCAAGTAAGTACTGAAATTCCACTTCCTGAAACTTAGTGTTTAGGAAAGTTAATCTGTAATTGCACCCTCCTTTCACTTTGCCAGTTAGACAGCTATTGTCTTGATTGGTCATTCAAGGTGGGTAAAGTGTATATCCTTTCTATAACCCAAGTAAATGATGCTCATTTGACTTGGATCCTGTCAGAGGAAACAGTTTTTATTGAGCAGCACATAAAGTGATATTACCTAACGGGGCTTTTCAGCCAAATCTCACATTGGTACTGAAGCCCTTTTAAGTCTTAGCTTGTAGGTCTGCTCACGGGATTTTTGAACAGCTTGAACAGAAAAGGAAAGGTTGTTTTTTCCAGGAGTAACACAGTTCTTTGTGTGCTACAAAGTTAAAATTCACACAACACAATTGTTTTCCACAATCTTAATCTAAAATTGTCAGCACATTATTATATATTAATAAGCTTTCAGTTACCAAAGTTATGTATGGTTTGCATCTGCAGCAGTATATTTTAAGTGATTGTTCTTTAAAGAAAAATTATCTGTGATTTTGCTTATGGAGTTACTCCTCTAAGGGCCATAAAACTAGCTTTGAAGTGGCCTTTTTTTCAAGTCCAGTAAATTAAAACTGATTTCCTTTCTTAGGGGAAAGATTCTTGCCAAGAGAATCAATGTGCGCATTGAGCATATTAAACATTCCAAGAGCAGAGACAGCTTTCTGCAGCGTGTGAAGGAGAATGAAAGGAAGAAAAAGGAAGCAAAAGAAAAAGGCATTTGGGTTCAACTGAAACGCCAGGTAATATTTTTATTGTAGTTGACACATGGTTCATTCAGTTCACAGAAAGCCCCCAAACAGCTAAAACCAAACCAGCTGAGTAAAATGTTGTGTTCTTCCAAAATATTCATGCTACACTGTTTCTGAGCTCTTTCTGTGTCTTTCAAAGACAAATCCTCCCGCCAAAAAACACCTATTCTGAAAACCCCATGTCTGTGGCAGATTGTGTGGAAGTGTCTGTTGCTCCCTCCCTCACTTCCTGCAAAAGGACTGTGAACCCAAGTTATTTTTGGTGGTTTTTCTTTCAGAGTAGAGTGGCAGCATGCAGTGTGTCTGCCTCTGAGCTGTCTGATACGTTTGGTACCTGAACAGACCTGTGGTGTTCCTGGGTGGAGATGGCAGCCTTGGCTGCAAACAAAGGGACAGGTGCTTCCTGTTCTGCTGCTGACCTGCAGCAGAAGCTTTGGCTGATTTCTAGGATCAGTGTCAACTTTGGTTTAGTTGACTTTAGCTGCAACAATTTTTGTTGTAACCCTGAATTAATAGCTGACTTCAGAGAGTGAGATAACAGTTGTTGCTTCTGGAACTGCAGGATACATCATTTCTTGTTAATTTAGATTAGTAAATTGCAGAGGGTAAAGTGTAGGAATTTTGCATTCAGCAAAGTCAAGCACAGTTCCTAGCAGATAAATTTTTGCTGCTGTTCTTTGAATCAAAGTGCAAAGAAACTATTAACGGTAAAATTGCTGTAATGTCAATAAAAGAAGGTGCTCGGTGGTTGTCAAAATTAATTTTCTGTAAGGTTGCTTTTGAGTTTTAGTGCCATGAGTTTGGTTTTTTTCTTTCTTTACAGCCTGCTCCCCCAAGAGAAGCACACTTCGTGAGAACTAATGGCAAGGACCCAGAGCTGCTGGAGCCAATTCCCTATGAATTCATGGCATAAGGCACATTTAAAAGAAGTAAATTAAAGATCTGGTTTTGGACAAGTGTATGTCATTGTGGCTGATTCCTCCAGGGCTGTTTTTTTGTTGTTTTTTTTTTTTAACAGGTGCTTTAGAAGCCTGTTGTTTTACTGAAGTTTGTTTATTCAACTTGCCTTACATTGTGCTTGGTCATTTACATCATCTGCAGCTTTTGCATATCAGTTTAGTCATTCATAGACACCATAAATCCTGGGAACACTGAAACTAGCTAAAGCTTAGTGATGATCATGAGGCTATATGAGGGAATGGAATATTTCACCACTAAACGAAGGACATGTGCAAAGAATTATACAGTGTCACTTGAAGGTTGTTTTTTTTTTTGTGGGAAAAGGGATAACAAGCTTCAGATTCCATTGGTAGAAGCTTTTGGTTGAGGGGCCTCAGATTAATACCAAAGAATTGTGGAAACAGTTTTTGAAAGCAGCCTCTTAAGAAATGACTGCAGGCAGATTTTGGTGCTCTGCCATTCGAACCTGTGAAAAAAGGGGTTTTAGAATACCCCAGGCCAATAAGCATTCTTATGAAGTAATAGCGGTTTAAAAATAAGGCTTTAATTCCAAAACTGCCAGCCTTTGTGATTTGATTTTTATCATTTTAATTGGCTGTCATAGCTGAACATTGTATTTTGTATGTTTATTTCGTGTCTGTTGAATCTAAACTTTTCCATGGATGTTCTAACTCGTTCCTCTCATCCCACTGATCTGTTGATACGTCCTTCACAAAACCCAGCATTTAAGTGGAAGAAGTCTTCAGCTGACTACTAACTAACCAGTGCTATTTTTGTGAGCATTGTTTGAAACTGTGAGGAGGGCTAAAGAAAGTGCTGAGGGTAATCTGCTTGGTTAGCTTTGAAAGTGCATAAACTCAAGTTTAACTGTGTTGCAGATATGGATAAGTAATACTTTACCTTTTTAAGTGTGGTGTAAGGCATTGCTTAGCTGCCAGTAATGTCTACATGTAGAGTACCATTAGAGAAGCTAGTGACTTCAAGCCATTTGTAGGTATTGACTGTTAAAAATTGTTGAATAGGTAGTTGCAGGACAGCTAATAAGTTTGGGAAAGAATGAGGTTTGCTTTTGCCCTTAATTCTGAGGTGCCTACGTGTCAAACTGTACAGGTTGTTTATAGATAAAGGGATTAATGGCTGCTTGCTCTTACCTACCATTTGATTGTGAGTGTTCCTATTCTCACGGAATGCAGTTTTTGGACGTTGAATTCATTGTGTGGCTTGGCCTGGTATTTAAGGGTGGCAGGCTTTAGGTACTGAATGCTCAAAGCCCCAGTGAGCAGATGCTACATTTGAAATTTCTCCAGGCTTCCATCTCAGAAGGTAGAACAGGCTGTCTTGTTGGAATGACTTTGGAAATGCCTTGAAGAAGATGGAACAAAGCTTCTCCATTAGCAGACTGATGGGTGATGCTTATAGTGTCTTTTGACACCATATGTATTGGACATAGAGTGTACCACCATCTCCTGAAGGAAGGTTGATGAATCTTAACTTCCATTGTTACAGTTTATGCACTTAGCTTTTATGACCAGGCGGGGTTTTGTTGGAGCAGCTAAATCTGTATGCTGAGCCTTAGACCTTTATCATCTTCTTTGGCTTGCCAGTTTCCACAGCAATTTAAAATCCCTATTTGGCTCACAAAATAAGCATCATTTTCCATTGGGAAAGGAGGACTTAAGTGGGAGGCTTCATTGGGTACAGTCTTCAGTGATGGTGTTTTTACATTTTCTTCACATGCTTGTGTAAGTTATTTCATTCCATGTTTGGTTTGTACTTAACTGTCAGGATTGCAGTGAATTAGCCGTAGCATCGTGATGGGATGGTTACCAGTAACTGTAAGTGGTAGGGAGTAATAAACTTCTGAATTTGGAATAGTAAGCCTAGGCAGCGTGCTGGGATCTCATTTAAGAGCTGTGCTTCTGGAGAAGCTGTGCATGACAACAGCTCTCAATCCATTTACTGTCACTGTTTTTAAAGTCACTATGCCGACAGTAGATACTGTTCGGAAGTTGTGTGTGGGCTGGGAGGAGAACAAGGGAATGCATTCCTTGGTCAGGATTCCCAGAAATGACTGAAAATGAAGCTGGTTTGAACAGGAAGAGGGTAGCCTTTCGAGCGGAGGCGAGTGTTTGAAAGCAGGACAAGTTAGCTACAGCTTAACCTGTCTTGGGTTTATAGACACTGCCTGTTAGTTGCCCTCAGTGCAGTGGTAGTTTTCCTGGTTGTCTCAAGTTTGCAGCAGCACAACCCAGGTATTTACCAGTCTTAGTACCTGCTATTGAAGTTTGCTTCCCGTGTTCAGCACAGTTGCGACAAAAGGTAGAGATCTGTGAGTTGAGAAAAGTTGTGGAAGAACTGCCTGTCAGGACACTTGAATCATGAAACTAGTGTCTAAATTGAAAATTGTCTTTCTTGGTAGAATAGTTTTAATTGTGTGCAGAGCTTGCAGAAGATTTGGGAGGGGAGTGAGTGATTTTGGCAGTTCAGCCTCTGCCCCCTTGGGTGGAGGAAGCACGTTTTCTTAGAGTGTTTGGAGTTGCAGGTTCCTCTCTCCTTTGGCTTGCTCTGGAAGGGGTTATACACACTTAAACCCATTAGCTGTAACTGGTTGTCCACACCCCTGTTCTGAGGCTGTGCCTGGAAAGCAAAACCTTGCAGTGAGCCTGCCAGCTACAGAGAGGGTGTTTTCACACTGTGACAGTTTAATTTTGTTTCATTCCATGATACTTCGAATTGTGGAGAACTCTTGTGAAATGTGCAAAGCTGTAGGTTTCCCATGTAACTGGACACACCTTGAGCTGCTAGGGATCAATTCAAAAGTCAGTTTTGCTGAAGTTCAGTATTAATGTTGCCTGTCTTCCAGTCCTCTTCTGGTACAGAGGCTTCATTATCCCAGAGCTGGTGCACAGCTTGTCCCTATACAACATGTGAAAGGATAAAGTGCTTATGGATTAGCACAAGCTGTTATGTTTCAGTGTAGTGCTTTGTCTCTGTTCCTCAGAGCTCAGTTACGAGGTGGGGGCTGAGCTTTCGGCTCCTAACCAGGTTTTACTGCCTTGGACTTTGCAGCTGGTTCCCTGCCAAAGACCCTGCCAAGTATCTCCTGTTGTCTCTTGGAGAAGAAGCAAGGAAGCTTTCTGAGCTGTCAGCTTCATCTGGGTTAGCCTGTCACTGGCACCAAGACCTGAGGCTCCCTGAGGGCTGTGCAGGCAGTTAGTCTTAATGCTGTGCCTGGCCAGGGGGGTTAGTGAAAGGGCAGAAAGGACTGGGGAGGAGGAATCATGCCTGTGCAGAGGGGCTGCAGGCTGAGGACCCCAGGAGGAAGCAGTTGAAGTGTGCATGCCTGAGCAGGGTGGGGGATGTTCAGACACCTTCAGCCCCATTCCTTGAGGGAGAAGGCAGGTAAGCAGCTGTAAGAGGATATACAAACTACTGCTTTTGTAATCTTCTGTTGTGGGTATCAGATAGGGTAGACTGTCTTGAGGACAGCTAATCTGAGCCCCTATTGCTTCAACCTACTGAGCTGCTCCTGCTGCACCAAAGTTAAGTGGTAATGGAGAGACAGCCCATTGATCCCTGGAAATCACTTCCTTTGCAGGGTGTCCTACCTGTTTCCATGCTGTCATCTCTGTGCTTGACCATCACTGTTTGCTCTCTCAGCAGCAGGTGAGGCAGCATGCTCAGAAGCGGGGAGCCCCTTCAGTTCTGGGGTTGGTGATTGTTTAATACTGCTGCACTCACAACTCAGCACCTGGGAAGCAGCTGCCTGGGACAGACTCATTTTGGTGGCATTCTTCCAAGAGCAAGTTAAATGTACTCCAATAGCTCCTTTGTAAAGAAATGTATAAAACCAGTCTGTGTTGGCACAGTGAGCAAGGCCAAAGCAAGATTCCATGGCAATGGGAGCAGATGACAACAGCACCAACCTCTGGAAGCCGAAAGCTTTTAGGGATAAAAGAGAAATCTTGTTTACAAAAATAGAAGGGCTTGTTGGCGTGATGGGAAGTAGAAATTCCAGAGGCAATCAATTTTTCAGATTTAAAGCGGCCTTGATGTTACCTGCAGGAAGCAGGGAGCAGCTCCTCCCCATCCTTGTCCCCATCGCATCAAGGGTTCTTCTCTCAGGACCACATTCACTGTTAGAGCAGGGCTGGCAGCATTCCTTGTGCATTTTCATGTCACTGGAGGGACTGGAGTGAGGATGTCTGAGGAAGCACACAGCAGGTCAGTACCTGGACTCTCACGGTTGTAGGGAGAAAGTAAGAGGGAGGACAAGAGGGAAGTGAGGAAAACCATGACTTGTCACTGCATGAATCTTCAGGAGCTGTGCTGAAGGGGAGGGGTAGGTGATTGTGTACAGCCCCAGTGCACAGCTCTGCTGAGGTTCAGCTCAGCTGCCTGTGGGTATCTGGGACCAGTGCTGCCCTGGGCATCAGCCCTGCAGCTCCCACGGTGGCTCCATCCCTGTGTGGTTACAGGCTGTGAAGCCACAGACCCATCCGGCTCCTTTCAAGTGCCAGTCTGCTACCCTCCTGCTGTCTTGTGTTACATATCTGCCTGATAAAGCAGCCCCTGAATGGATTATTTGGTAAACAGTTAACACACTTGTAAAGCAGCAGCGTGCCGCAGAAGCGGTTTTGCAGGAGCCAGGGCAACAGTTTGCGGAGATGGAAGCATCCACGCTGCTGCTGGCAGGTTTGAGGCTCGTGGTGGAGCACCTCTCTTTGAAACTTTATTCTACTTTAAAAACCTGAAGGGCCTAATCCAGACCTTGGGGCCCTGTGGACCGCTCTGGTTTCAGGACTGGCTGTTGCTTGATCCAGAGTCTGGGATTTCAACGCTGGCTATGGAGGGATGTGTCCAGGTGTGGGAAACAGAATAATCTGGAGTATAAGAACAAATCACTTCCTCTAAGTCCTGACTCACATCCCCCGCTGCAGGGAGGGCGCAAGAACCCGCAGCCTGTTGCGGTGGTGGAGGTGCACCCTCCCCAGCACGCGAGACTGGTGCTGCCTCCCGCCTGCCCGGAAGGAGGGCGGTGCTCGGCGGGATGCTGCGGTGCCCGCCACAAACCGGGGTGCAGGTAGCACGGCCGGACCGGGCTGTCCCCGCCCTGGGGGACAGGGGACGTGTGGGGAGGAAGGGGCGGCGGTGCCGCAGGGTGGACAGCGAGCGGGGGTACAGCTGGGGAGGGCTGCGGGGGGTGGGAGGTGCGGCTTGGGGCGGTACCGCCGAGGGGCGGACCCGCGTACGGCGCTGCCGCCGGAGCCTTTAAGAGCCGCCGGCGGCCGCCCGCGCTGGGCGCTGTCTGACGGGGTGAGCAGAGAGGGACAGAGTGGAACCGCGCCGAGCGGAGCCGCCGGGCCGCCCCTCCCATGCGCCTGCCGAGCATGTCCCAGCCCTTCCTGCTGGCGCCTATCGCTGAGTGCGCGCCGGGGCTGCCCGGCCCCCAGGTCCGCCTGGCAGTACTGGGTGCCCGCGGAGTTGGCAAGAGCGGTGAGTGCCGGGGGCTGCCCGTCCGTGCCCCCTCTCCCTTCCCGTGCCCGCCCATCCGTCCCGCCTAACACGGCCGCTCTGTGTTTCAGCGATGATCGTGCGGTTCCTGACGAAGCGCTTCATCGGGGACTACGAGCCCAACACAGGTGAGGCGGCGGCGGGCGGCGGGTGCGGGGTCCCGGTGCCGCGGGTGGTGCCTGACGCTCTGTGTTCCCCAGGCAGCCTCTACTCCCGGCTGGTCCGTCTGGGGGGTGACCACGTTGCCGTGCAGATCCAGGACACGCCGGGGTGCATCCAGGTACGAGCTGCTTTTCTCTGCCACCTGAAGGCTCAGCTTTTGAGCTCCAGTTTCCTCCAAGGCCAGGCTTCCCTTTAGACCTGTTTAATGGTGCCGCCTATGATGGAGGCTTTATGCTTTCACTGCCTGATATCAAATTTGTGCTGTCTGTTGTACCGCAGGTGCAGGAGGACTGTGTGCAGGTGCTGGACGCCCTGTCCCGGTGCGTGAAATGGGCAGAGGGCTTCCTCCTGGTCTACTCCATCACAGACTACAGCAGCTACCAGGTAGTCCGGCCGCTCTACCAGCACATACGCAAGGTCCACCCAGACGCCAGGACCCCCATTATTATCGTGGGGAACAAAGCTGACCTCCTCCACGCCCGGCAAGTGCAGGCAAAGGAGGGACTACAGCTGGCGAATGAACTGGGCAGCCTGTTCTTGGAGATCTCCACAAGTGACGACTCCCAGGGCGTCTGTGATGTGTTCCAGTACCTGTGCAAGGAGCTCAGCAAACTGCAGCATGCTGGCAGCACAGACAGGAGGCGGGTGTCCATCATCCCTCGGCCCAAATCTCCCAATATGCAAGATATAAAGAGACGTTTCAAACAGGCTTTATCTTCCAAAGTCAAATAAACCGCTGTGATGAGATCCTGTGTGATCCAATAGACCTTATTTTTGTAAACTAGTTAATAAAAATCTTTATTTTTGTACTAACACCAGCAGTATGGAAGTAAGTATGTCAAAGCTTGCGATTTCGTTGCCATTCTCTCTTGTTTGACTGGTTGGGTTATTTTTACAATAAGAAAAAAAGCTGCATAGCAACTAAATAGAGGTAGTTGGAGAAGGGGATTTTTGCCAGGAGGGTTTGATTCCATTTCTGTTTTGGGCTGGGGTTTCCTGCTTGACACTGCTCAAATGACTTTTTGGGGGCCTCAGTTTCCTGTTTCCAGAATGGGAGTGATAATGATGTAACACTCTGCTGCCTTTATAGAATGTTTGAAAGCCTTTGATGGAAAGCTTCATATGGAGAAAGGAAAAAAAAGCTCTATTAAACATGAAAACAAAACTGTCTGAGAGTTCTGATTATCATGGGATCACTTTTCTCCTTCAAAACTGCTGTTTTACCTGCACCCATAACCGCCTGAATGGTAATAAGCTGTTGGGAATGAGCTCCGATTTCTGATGTGTTTTGGAGTAATCAATGCCACAGAATTAATCTCTTGAGCCCTCAGTATTTAACAGAAGGGTTGAGTTCCTCCTACAGGTTACCACAGGACAAAGTGCTGAGCAATTCGCAGCAGAGGAGGGTGTGGGATGGCTGTTGCTTTCTCTGGAGATGTGTGGTAGGAAGGACAGATGTGTAGGCTCCCTTAACAGAAAATAGCTACTTTTAAAAGGAATAGCATCTCTGTGTTCCTCAGATCAATTTTGTAGCCATTAGAAACAGGTCAGATGTTTTACTCTCATTTTACAGAATCTCTAAACCATACTAGAATGATTTTATAAACTGTTTGCTGAGTGTTTGAGCATGGCATGTGGGGTTTGCACTTCAAATATGCCTCTGAAGTATGTGCACAGTGTTGGTAAGAAAATAAAGCTGTGCTTCATGCTGGGTAGAAAGTGTGGAGTAATCTGTACTGGAGGAACCTCGCTGTTCCCGTTCAAGCACAGCTCCAGTAGGGTTTTACTTTGGTCTTAAGCTGTGAGATTAAAAAATGATCATTTTCTTCTTTCCTTTTGCTGGGAAAGACAGGTAGCTGCTGTGTAAATCCCCGTGCTGCAGGTATGCTGCTGTGCCTTGCAGTTAGAGGGGTGTTTCTGATCCCTGGGGTTTGAAGCTTTCTGGAACAGCTCCATTCTTCATCTGCAGATGAAAGTCTCCCTGGTGGTGATAAGTGAGGGAAGAGTGACGGAGCAAATTACGGATGATGCTCTGTGAGGAAGCATCAGAGGCCTCTGTTAGTATTGGGTAGGGGTGTAGGATGCTAGCAGGACTGTTCCCCATCCAGGGCCACATGCACAACATGAGTCGGGCACATGAGATACCTGTGTACCTCCTTTATGAAAGCCTTTGCTGCCCTACCAAAGGGAATGGGAAAGCTGAAGGGAGGCAGTTCCAGACCTGCAGGAACCGAAACTGGGACCGAAACTTTTATTCACGGAAGTGCCAAAACACGGTGATGGCAGGGACAAACAAATGACTGCTTAAAACACATTTTAAATAGTTCTTTGCTGTGAGAAATGCTCTGCCAGGCCCAGGATTCTGGGCAGGGAGAGGGGATTGGTGGGAATGAGCACGAACTTGAACTCACCACACTGGTCATAAATTCACAGGGAAATCTGAATGGGAACTGAAAAATCAGAAGTGGGATATTTATGCAGCATTTCACTGTCCTGAAGTCATGGATAACGAGAAATTGCTGCTGTGATAGGGTTTTGGTTGCTTTTTAAACTGTAGTCTTTGTCTTCGGAAATAATAAATCTCAATTCCTTACTCATGTATTCAGTACAGAATTTCACCAAGCAAGCTGCTGAAGTTATCTAGGTCATACATGGGCACAAAATATGCTAAAAGGACAGGTAATGTGCACTGGACCTGTCTGCATCTCCCCATGGTCCTTAAAGGCCAGGTGAAAGACAGCATTAGGCACCAACCTCTGGCAAAGCAGGAGCTCAGGGCCCTACTGTGGTAGAGGGGAAGAGGTTGAGCAGGAGCAAGAGGATACGGTCATTTGCCCCATCTCTGCTATGAGGAGAACGTAAAGAGATGCCCCTTATTATGTAGGCACCCACATTTAGGTGGAGGTACAAATCTTTCCGTTCCCTCCCCACACTTCCCATGCTGTTGGGCTGGTTTGGCTACATGTGGAAGCAGGATGAGGCCTCTTGGGGATGTAATGAGGAATCTTGCTGTCTAAAGGATGCCTATGGCAGGGAGGGAGGGTTGTTCTGACCTGCTTCCAGTCTAAGGCAGCAGCTGAGCTGAGTCATTCTGGATAACACTTGGGTACAGGTACGTAAATCTAAGCTGTCTGTCAGAATTTGACCCAGTAGCACAGACTTACCTTACCCAGAAGTTTTCAGCCCCCAAAACCCTGAGCTGATGGGCAAAGAACAGGAGGAGCCTGCTGGCTCCCAGCTCATTTTGCCCAAGCACCTTCTTCAGTCCTGGGTGAGCAGACAAAGAGAAGCACACCGAGGTAGGAAGGGAAAAGCATCTCTCCAGTGCTAGCAGAGGAGCTCCAAAGCCTTGTTTCTCTTCGGCCATGGCCACTCATACCCTCCCTATTGTATCCTTGCCACCACCACTCTCTAAGTCCTTCACCCAGAGGCAAGGGTGGCTTCAGAAAGATAAGTAGGGCACAGCCTGGGTTTTCTCCTTTATCAGAGGAAAATATGTGTCTGCCTCCTTCCTCCCACCACCTCTGCCATGAAACAGAATGGCAGCAATTTCCCCTGACAAGATGGGTGAGTGGGTTCTCAGAAGCAGGGACATGTGTGGCATCACACACTATTGTGGCTGCTCCTACATCTGCATCACCCCCCTGTTGGGCTATTTTGTCTAGCTATCTCTGCTGAGATCATCCAGTAGTGCTTTAAGACTTCATGAATTTTAAAGTAGCAGCTGCCATCAACTTGTTCTGCTCTTCACTTCAGGAGCAGCAGATCCCTTGACAGAGATAGGGATGTTTTCTTCAAAAGGCGCTTCAGATGTCTTGCTTTCTGCCCTGCTTGAGCAGCCTGGACCTAGGCTGCTTCCTTGCTGCCTCTTGGCCTGGACTTGGCTATCAGCATGATGTGTGATGTAGGTCCATGCTGTATTTGTGTGGTTTGTTTGGATGAAGGACCTTGGATAAGACAGACCATGGACAAGAAGGACTGCATTCACACCATGGGCAAGAGCTTCAGACAGTTCCAGCTGTGGTTCCAGCTTCAGACAGGGAGCAAAAGTGGTGGAGGCTTGGATGGACAGACAACTGGAAACAAATCTGCATCTCATGCCTGGACCTTCTATAAAGCAGTTTTAGTCTTGGCAGTCTTGAATAGCTTCTGGTGAAGCTGCTGTGTATTTAGGAAGGTCTGGATAGTCTCAGAATAATTCCTTTAGGAAAAGCTGACCTTCTGCAGCAGCTGTTGCACTTGGTGTGTGACCACTGGTCATTCATACCAGTAAGACAGCAGGATCTCTTCAGTTGCTCCTGAAGTCAGGATCCAAAGCCAGTCGTCCTCCTAGAAGCAGTATCTCCAGGGATGATGCTGTCTCTGCATCACATGCTGTCCTGGGTTCAGCAGTAGCAGTCATGTTTTTTCCTGCTACATGACTGCTACTGCTGAACCCAGGACACATGCAATCCTCCAAAGAGCTGTCTTCCTGAGGAACCTTCAGAGCGATGCCCCTGAAAACCTTATTGTGAGTTAGAGCGTGGCTCACCAAAACAGTATCTCAGCTTGGATGCTGAGTAACTAGTCACAATTCAGACATTCAGCAAAACCCCACTGATTCTCAGACTTGCTCTTCCACCACCCCCCTCTTCCCACCTGTCTGAAAAGAAGGAGAAAGCAATGCCTTTTTATTGGAAATGCTTCTGAGATAGTTGGTTTATGAAGTTTTCCTACTACATTCATTGCTGATTCTCCTGACTGAAAGAAGCATAAATACGTATCGTGACTTACTATGCCTGATTATGTATACTGTGGAATATAACCAGTTATATGCTACCTTCCCACACTACCAAAAGAAAAATCAGGGTATAGAAAATGAGCATCCATTTCACTGGCCTGTGATACTTGATTTACAACTGAAAAGCTGTGTAGTAAAGTTTGCATAAGGATTATACGCTCCATAGACGTTACAGCTGCCATTTTCAAAAATGCACTTGGTTGTTGCTATCTGTGTTTTCCTTTCTTGCCTGAAAATAACCACCCACAGGAGAAATCCTTGCTCAGAGGCCCTTGTGATGTGAACTGCCGTGTATAGGGGGCTGCGTTTGCCCCATGCCTCGTCCTTCGGGCTTTGCTGGATCAGTGCTTGGGCAAAGGCATCTGCCCATGTGCCCGGGCTCGCAGGTCACGGTTCAGCAGACTGTATTTTGCTGTTGATCTGTGCACAACATCGCTATTAAAACGTATCTGTCCAGGAAATTGCGCAAGTGTATTTGTCAATCTGCGTTACTGGGAAGCGGTAATTAATTCTTAAAGCTGGGATATTTTTCTTCTAAGGTATTTGGCTCTGTCCCCATCACTAAAAACATCCTCTCCTCAGGTTTCAAACGGGCCTTGTAAACATTTCATAGTAATTCCCCACCTCGGGACCGTAAGCCAATATCAGCAAATATTGTTTCTGGGAGCAGCTCTGGGAAGAGGGGACTGAACCCCCCCTTTCTGGGTCACCGAGGTGAATCACATACTCAGGTCCTGCAGCTGATACTTCCTTCCATCCTGCAAACAAACCCCAGGGAAGGCAAAGCGATGCGCCTGTTGTCTGGGGCTCGCAGCCTGACCCTCCCAGGACCCTTTAAGAACACAACCATCCTCAGCAAGCCAACCTCCCACTGCTGCAGTTTCTTTTGATATTAAGAAGTCCAAAGGCCTCTTTAACCCTTGGAGACAGAACTAGCAGAACCCTGAGGAGTGCAGATATCATGGAGAAACCACAGTGACAGCAGCATGGCGTTGGCAGCCCCTTAGGATCTGAAGCAGCTAAAGAGGTGTTACCTACCTGCAGTGCAACAGCAGCCAATAAATACGGATGCTATTAGGCTGATTTGGGTGAAAATAAATGGGTTGCACTGAGCTACTGGGTAGGAAAAGGCCTGGCTGTCACCCACCGTGCCCAGCGCCAGGGAGGGGGCAGCTGCCCCCAGGAGTTAGCCCTGGATCCTGCCCAGTGCCCTCACCAGAACTGAGGCATCTCATCAGCCCCTGAGCAAAGCGTCCTCTACAGCACATGAGGGGCAGGAGGCACATCAACCATTTTGCTCCTCTGCAGGGAAGAACCACCCCACATGAAGCCCTCACCTCAGGCAGCCCCCCCCAACCCCCCCACCGCCGGTCTGTGCACCCCAGCAATG